GACTTTAGATGGACTTACGTGTATTTTGATTTTTATAATAATAATTATGGTAGGCATAATATCTACATACTTTTATATTTTTATTCTGCTTGTTTCTATGATTTACTTGATATATAATATTTTTTATCCTTTCGTTGCTTAATATTAAACTTCCAATCATTTCTCGAAGAAAATGAATAATGGGAAAATTATTCGGTTTATCAAATTCAATTTTTTTTTTTTTATTAATAAATATGTATCGTAGGGAAATTAGACATTAAAAAGAACTAGAACTTAGTTTTTGATCAAATTGGACGTTTCATCCCTTTATTTGGACTTCTGCAGCAACTGGAAATTTTATTTTTTATTTTTTTTTTTTTTTTTTTTAATTACATTCGAACAAATAAATCGACGGCAAATGTTTCTTGCTCTTTTATGTTTTCAAATGTGAATTACACATGAGACACATACATTATAAAATATTAGATTTTGTTGTTGATTATGTAATAATTTTTTTATCAATTTCTTTTATATTCATATTTTTTTTTCTTTCATATTCATATTTATATTATTCATTTTTTATATTCATATTTATTAGTGTTATATATTAATTAAACGCTTCTGTAATTAGATTTCACTTTATACATCATTGGTAATGTTGTCTACGCGAGTTCCATTTATTATCAATAACGAACTTGTTCCTTAAGACTTTTTGTGCTATGCAACATTTTAAAATACATGCACCGTGCAATTTTGTGCAATCTACATATAAGTATCGGGATAATAGAAAACTGTCTTACCGACAGACTATAATATCGAGCAACGTTATCGACGGTGTATAAAATATTATTTACTTACAGACGCTATATTATAAGATAATTTAATACGTGTATGCATTAAAATATAAAATGATTACCTTTTTGGTTTAATACAAATAAAAAAAAAAAGGTTTAAACTACTCCTTAATAGAAGAATTATTTAAAATTTTCTTAATCCTTTTATTTTTTTAATCAAACAACATAAAAAAATTATAATTAATATTCAATCAATCGAGTATGAAGAATAAAAGAAAAGAAAAGAAAAAGAAAAACGTTATATTTTCTTCTTTACGTTATTTTTATTCTTTACAAATCCTTTTCAAACGCGTATGTTTGAATAAAAATATTTTTATATTTAAGAACCCACGTTTCTATAATATTTTATTCTTATTTTTTTTTACTTATAAAACATATCGGTAAAATTTCGTTGAAATAAAATTATGACATCTCATCATCTATAATATAATTATATTATTTTTTACAAAGTATTAATAAAATAAAAAATATAAATGTATAGTTTAATTTTAAGATTGTTGATAATTATTGGTGAATTGAGAATAAACCAAAAATGTGAGATAAAT